CCAAAATTGGTGAATTGGAGGATGAATCCCTAAATAGGGTTTGCCAGCAACAAACTAAAATAAAAGATCTTCAAAAGGAGCAGAAAACTTTACAGGTACTGAGTTATGTGTTTTCTTAGTCGATTAGTACTAGAACAGCTCATCATTGACTTCCATGTTGCTTAACTTGGTGATTTTTACCTTCCTTGACCTATCACTGGTTCCTTTTCCAGAACATCCTATTTCCCTCACCTCACTGGACATTCTATAGTTCCTTTGCTGCTGGTTCTTCTCTCCTTCCTAACCTCTTGGTGTTGGAATTCTCCAGTGCTTGGTCCTTAATATCTTGTCTTTTTTTTTTTTTTTTTACATACCCTAACTCTCTTGACCTCAATCTGATTCATGGCTCCTCAATTTTTATGTATAGTCCAGACCTGTCCTCTAATTCTATACTGATAGCCAGCTTTAAAATCTCTATTGGATGTCTAATAAGCACTTAGAACTATTTTATGTGTAAAACTGAGTTCTTTTCATAGAAAGGGTAGTGTTACAACAATGAATGCTGAGTTTCCTAGTATAAAAAATATTTACATTAAAATGTAGGTGTTTTGTGAAACATCTACATTTTAATGTAAAAAGGAAATGAATCTTTTGTGTTGATAGCAAATTAGGGAAGATAAAAGTGCTCCTGGAGTATAATTATTTTACAGTTTAAGGGACATTCTTCTATTTTTTTAGTATACACTTGTTTTCAATTTTAGACTGGTTTCATGCTGCATATTTTGCAATTTGGAGCAAGGAAACATTGGTTTTTGTATGTCTGGCAAAGAAGTCGAGGAGATCAATAAATGTAGGTATAGTGAAAAATTGGAGAAAAGACAACTTATGTGACATAGAGGATTATATTTATATTTATTCTCATTTAGCATAATTATTTTGAGATTTTATTCATGTGGCCGTATGCTGTGATTTAGATGAGTCTTCCTTAAAGGTTCATGTGCTAAAGGCTTCATCCTCAGGGTATCATTATTGGGAAGAAATGGAACTTTTAGGACCTCCCACTGGAACCCTCCTCCTAAGTCTTTTCTTTGCTTCCTGACTTATAATGTGAGTTTGTTCTGCTATGTTCTCCTGCTGTGATGTGTCATCCTCACTTGTGACCCAAAGAAATGGAATAATTCATTCTATGTTTTCTCCTTTTTAAAAATTATAGTATTATTATAGTATTATTTGATTAAATATTAGACAAAATCATACACATAAGGAATCTTATTTCAATCCCCATTCCTCCTGCTTCCCTCACCTCTCCCTCTTATTCTTCTTTCTCTACTGATTTGTTTGCTTATTTACTTATTTATTTATTGGTAGTTGTAGATGGACAACATGCCTTTATTTTATTATTTTTTCACACAGTGCTGTGAATCAAACCCAGTGCCTCACACATGCTAGGCAAGCACTTTACCGCCGAGCCAGAACCCCAGTCCCTCATTTATTTTCTGACTGGTACTTTCTACATATACATGAAGAAATTCCTTTTGGTATGTTTTTCTATGCATGTAACATAATTTTGTTAAACTTGTTCTATATTTCCTTCCCTTTCCAATCATTCCTACCCCCCTCTCATCATTCTTCTTCTGGTCCACTGATCTTCTCTGTATTTTTGATATCTGATCACTGCCCCCCGCCTTTTCTTTATTTCACTCTAGCTTCCAATGAAAGAAAAGTTTTGACCTTTAATTTTCTGAGTCTGGCTTATTTGACTCAGCCTGATCTTCATTTCCATTCATTTATTGGCAAATGCCATGATTTCATTCTTGCTTATGACTGAATAAAACTGCATTGTGTATATGAACCACATTTTCTTTAGCCATTATTGATGGGCATCGGGGCTGATTCCTTAATTTGGCTAATGTGAATTGTGCTTTTATAAACATCGAAGTGGCTGTTATCACTATAGTATGCTGAGTTTTAGATCTTTAGGATAAATACCCAGGCGAGAGATAGCTGGGGTCATATGGTGGTTCCATTCCTAGTTTTGAGGAATCTCCATACTGCTTTCCAGAGTGGATATGCTACATTTACAGCCCTACCAACAATGTGTCAGTATACTTTTCCCCCATATCCTCACCAGCATATTATATGTTCTTGATTATTGCCATTCTGACTAGAGTGAGATGAAATCTTAGTTTTGATTTTCATTTCTCTGATTGCTAGATATATTGAACATTTTTTCATATATTTATTTAGTTGTTGTGCCCATTTATTCAAATCCCCACCTCAATACTCTCCTCCATCCTGCATTAAGATTTTTTAGTTGTTTATCTATTAATTCCATCAGAAGAGCAGCTGGGAGATTTTCTCCCATTCTTCAGTCTCTCTCTACACTCTCTTAATTGTTTCCTTTGCTGTGCAGAAGCTTTTTAATTTGATGGTATCCCACTTATTGATTCCCCATTTTATGTCTTGAGCTTTAGGGGTCTTGTTGAGGAAGTCAGTGCCTGTACCTATGGGATGGACTGTTGACTCTGTTTTATTCTAGCAATTGAACAGTTTCTGGTCTAATTCCTAATTCTTTGGTCCATTTTGATTTAACTTTTGTGGAGAGTGAGATATAGGTGTCTAGTTTCATTCTTCTACATATGGATATCCAGTTTTCCCAGCAACATTTGTTTAAAAGGCTCTTTTCTCCCAACATATTTTTGGCACCTTTGTCAAGTATCAGATGGCTATAAATATGTGGCATTGTCTATGGGGAGGTGGCCATAGACAGGGGGTCCTTTTTCATGCCCAGAAGGATATAAGCCACCAGAGAAGATAATATCTCAGAAAAAATTAGTCCAGAAATAAGACAGAGTTGGAAAGAGTTTTGAAGTAGGACACCAGATAGGTCCAGCCCACCCAGAAGCTGGAGCTAAACAATTAGAAAATGGCTTCCGTGGTTTATTTAAGTGGGTACATCAAAGACAGGGAGAAGGTTTCAGGGTGAAATCTTGATTTGGGATATCTTGGGGTCAGCAGGTTGACTGGCATCTGGGTGGGTTATGCCCATCTCTGGGAGGCTGTGTGGCTGCAGCAGGTCACCCCATCACCAGTGCTTGTGTTGGACCAGGCACAGCTGAACAGGGCTCACAGGTGTCTGGGCATTCTAGGCCAGAGGAAATTTCTATTGGAAGTCCCCAGACACCAGATTCTCCTGCTCACTGGCTATGATGCCGATTTTTAGTTCACACTCGGCCTATGGATGGCTCTCAACAATTGTCTCTGTGTCTTCTATTCTATTGGTTTTCATGTCTCTTTTGATGCCAATACCATGGTGTTTTTGTTAGTACAGTTCTGCAGCATGATTTCAGATCAGGTATTGTGATGCCTCCTGCATTGTTGTTTTTTAGAATTGCTTTTGCCATTCTGGGTCTCTTATTCCCCCATAGTGGAACTACTTGTTCTTAGACTGAAATGTCAAGAACTGTGAGCTAAAATAACCTTTTGCTTTTTATAAGTTAATTGCCTCTGATATTTCATTGCCTCTGATACTTCATTACAGGAATGCAAAGCTAGCTAATAGCTGTGTCAGTGGTCTGTTCCTTTTTATGCTAAGAAGTATTTCACTGTGTGGATATACCACTATTTGCTTATTCATTCTGTTGATGAACATTTTGAGTTGTTTTCAGTTTCTGGCTATTTGAAACTGACCTCATGTAAATATTTCTGTTCAAGGTTTTGTGTAGACATATGCTCTCATTTCTCTTTGGTAGATACTTAGAACTTGAATTGCTGAGTCATACAATAAATACATGTTAACTTTTAAGAAATTGCCAGGCTCTAAATTCCAAAGGTGCTCTATCATTTCACATTCCTGATAGGGTATGAAAGTTCTAATTTCTTATCCTCACCAACCCTTCAATCAAAAATTGAAGATCGAACACTTCAATTTTGATGAGTATTTTCATTGGATATATAATTTTAATTTGGAAGCTATTTCCTTTCCATATTTCCATTTTCTCCTGGATTCCATTGTTTCTGCTGAGGGTTCACTTGTCAGTGTCTTTGTCGCTCCTTTGAAGGCATTCTACCATTTCTTTGGCTTCCTTTTAATATGCTTTTGTTTTAAAATAGTTTTACCTTGTGTCTAGTCAAGTTTACTTTTGAGTTATCCTTCTCAGATTTTGTAGCACTTCTTGAATTGGTAGCTTGATATTATACATCAGTTTTAATAAATTCATAACCATTATATCTTCAAATATTGCATCCATCACATTCTCTTTTCAGTTTTTCCAGGATTTCAGTTCTGTTAGTTTATCATTTAATCCCCATGTCTTTTTATGTTTTTTAATCTTGATCTTTTTGTCTTTTGATACTTTATTCTAGATATTTTCTGTGGATTATTGGATTTTTTTGTTTTAGAATTTCTGTTCTTTGGTTTTTAATTTTCTGAAATTGTTTTGAACATACTAAGTTAATTTATTTTAGAATCTGTTCAATTTTGGAGCAAGATGGGAGTGGTGGTCATACAGTATCATAAGAGTATTAGATGCTAGTGAATTGTTCACTTTAAAATGGTTAATTTTATGTGGTGTGAATTTTATCTCTGTTTAAATCTGATAATTCAGTTACCTGGTTCTAATTGGATCATTTTTTTGTGTTTAGGTTTCTATTTGTGTTTTCTTGTTCTCTGGCATGCCTGATTATTATTATTGCATGCTGAGCTTTTTTCATATTTTATTGATGCATTATAATTGTACATAGTGGTGAGATTCATATTTGTACAAGTTTATGATATAATAATTTAACCAATATCATTCCCCAGTATTCCCCTTCCCCTGTGTGTCCTCTCCATCTTTCTTTTCCCTTTTCCTCTAGCTTCCATATATGAGAGAAAACATATGACCCTTGACTGATTAAAATTTCACTGTTTATATATGCCACATTTTCTTTATCCATTCATCTATTGATGGACAACTAGACTGGTTCCATAGTTTGGCTATTGTGAATTGTACTGTTATAAACAGGTATGCTTGTATTACTATAGTTTGAAGGTTCTAATTCTTCAGGATAAATACCAAGGATTGATATAGCTGGGTCATAAGGTAGTTCTGTTTGTAGTCTTTTGAGGAAACTTCATATTGGTTTCCATAGTGGTTATATTAATTTGCAATTCCACCAATAATGAAAATATATATATATATTTGTGTGGTACTGGGAATTGAACTCAGGGGCACTTGACCACTGAGCCACATCCCCAGCCTGTTTTGTTTTATATAGAGACAGGTTCTTGCTGAGTTGCATGGGGCTTCACTAAATTGCTGAGGCTAGCTTTGAATTTACAATCTTTCTACCTCAGCCTGCCAAGCTGCTGGGATTATAGGCATACACCACCACACCTGGCTGGCTATTTGTATTCTTTTGAGAAATGTCTGCTAAGTTTATTTGCTTATTTATCAATTGGGTTGTTTGAGTTCTTTTTGTTTTTATTTCCTTTTATTTTATTTATTTTTTTTTTGGTACTACGGATGGAACCCATGCTTAATGACTGAACCACATCTCTAGCCTTTTTTTTTTTTTTTTTTTTAAATAATGAGACAAGGCCTTTACTAAGTTGCTTAGGGCCTTGCTAAGTTGCTGAGGCTGGCATTGAACTTGCAATCCTCAATCTTCCAAGTCACTGGGATTATAGCCATGTACCTACATATCTGGCTTTGAATTCTTTATATATTTTGGATATTAGTCCTCTGTGAGAAGAGTAACAAAGATTTTCTCCTGTTCTGTAGGTTCTCTTTGCATTCTTGTTTTCTTTACTGCACATAAGCTTTTTAATTTGATGCCATCATATTTATTATTTCAATAGAAACTAAATATGACTTTGGGTAAAGTATTAAGACAGCATGTATTAGAGGTACATATCATAATCATGTTTTTAAAAAATTTCTTACAGATCAGATGCCAACATTACAAGAAAAAACGAATGGAGCAACAAGAGATTATTGCTTCTCTGCAAAAGGATATCTGTAGATTAACAAAGGAGGAAGAAGAACGCATCATCACTCAAAACAGAGTGTTTGCCTATCTCTGCAAAAGAGTTCCTCATACCGTCCTGGATAGACAGTAATGTTCACCCCATAAGATAATGTCGCTAAAGTCATTTTTCAAAAATAAGTTTATTGGGCTAAGGGTTGTGGCTCAGTGGTAGAGCGCTTGCCTAGCATGTGTGAAGCACTGGGTTCGATCTTTAGTACCACATAAAAATACATAAATAAAAAAGGTGTTGTATTCATTTACAACTAAAAAATATTTTTTTAAGTTTTATTTCATTTATTTATTAGTGGTGCTGAGAATCAAACACAGTGCCTCACACATGCCACGCAAGTGCACTGCTGCTGAGCCCCAGCCCCAGCCCCAGTCCCCAAAAAATGTTTTTTAAAAAATTGAGTTTTTCATGGGAGATAGGAGTGGTTATATTTCTCAGAGGAGACTCTCTCCCTCTCTTCTGCCTTTTTCCTTCTCCATTCTTTACTTTTTAAGTTTTATTTTATTTATTTATAAATGGTGCAAATAAATAAAATAAATATAAATACATTTATATTTATTTTATTTATATTTACTTATTTATATGCTCTAGTGCCCTAGAGCTCTTTGAGGAATGAAATTAGATATTTGTTAATTTTAAATATTTGTGTTATTTTTAACAATTGAGTTCCCCGTTAATTTATAAAGCTGTTTTAATTTTTATTAACTGATAAATAAATACATACAAATGGTACATACTAGTGGAATAATATGATGTTTTGTTGCATGTATTCATTATATTTAAATTAGGTCAAACTTTTCTGTTTTCTTGAACATTTATCATTTCTTCAGGGTAAAAATTCTGAAAATCCTTTTTTCTAGCTTTTTGAAATATGCAGTTCATTATTGTTACCTATCATCACTTTACTGTAGCACCTCAGAACTTGTTCCAATCTAACTGTAACTTAGTACCCATTGATCAATCTTTCTCTATCCCTTGCTTCTCCCCCAAATATCCCAGAACCACTTTTTTTTTATGAGCATAATACCTTTATGTTATTTTTAAGTGGTGCTGAGGATTGAACACAGTGCTCACATGTGCTAGGCATGTACTCTTACCATTGAGCTATAACCTTAGCCCCCCACGTTTTCAACTTTGATGAAATCAACTTTTTTTAGATTCTACATATGAGTAAAATTTCTGGTTCCATTTATGTGTTTTTGTAATTAATAGGATTTCATCATTTTTAATGACTGAATAATATTCTACTGCATATGTATGTGTATATATATATATCACATTCATTCATCAATTTATGAACATTCAAGTTATTGCTATTTCTTGGCTATTGTAAATAACGCTGCTTTTGAACATGGGAGTGCAGCAATATTTTTGACATTACTGTTTTTTTTCCCTCTGGATGTACATACCCAGTAGAATTGCTGAATCACATAGCAATTGTATTTAAAATTTTTGAGGAAGCTCTTTACTGTTTTCCACAATGGCTGTACTAATTTATATTCCGATTGACAGCATACATAGTTCCCTTTTCTCCACAATCTTGCCAGTACTCATTATCTTTAATCTTTTTGATTATAGCCATTCTTATTGGGATGAGGTCATTTTTCATGGTTTTGATTTCCATTCCCCTGATTATTAGTGATGTTGAACATTTTTCATACACCTATCGGTCATTTATGTTGTCTTTGGAGAATTGTTTCTTGAGGCCTCTTGCCAATTTTTAAATTGGTTTATTTGGTTTTTGGTATTGTGTATGTGGAGTTCGTTTTGTATCCTGAATATCAACCCCTAGATGTATGGCTTGCAATTATTTCTTTTATCGGTTGTCTCTTCACTCTTTTGATCTTTTCCTTAGCTATGCAGAGGTTTTTAGTTTGATGTAATCATATTTGTCTTTTTTATCTTTGTTTCTTGGGCCTTTAGGGTCTTCTTCAAAACATCTTGCTCATTTCAATATCCTGAATCATTTTCTGTTTTCTTCTAGTAGTTTCCTAGATTTAACCTTATGTGAAAGTTTTTAATCCATTTTGAGTTAGTTTTGTAACTGAGAGAGAGGTCTAGTTTTTTTTATTCTTCTGCATGCAAATGTCCAATTCTTCCACTCCTTAAAATTCCTGGTTAACCTATCAGACATTTATCAAAAGAACCGATTACTTTTAGTAAGATACTACTGTATAGATGTTGAGATTGCTTCTAGTTATACCGTTTTCTTTGACTTAAGACTTTTCAGTGAAAAGAGCTAGGAACTGTGTTTCTGGGGGAAAATAAATATTTTCTTTTTTTCCCAGTTGAAGTTAATGTTACAGTATTTTTAATTAAACTCTTTTTTTATTTTGTAACTCTTTTTAAAGTTTTTGTTCTTTTTGTGGTGCTGTGGATGAATCCAGGATCAATATAACTAATTTATCCTTTAATGTGTTAAAATATTCTAAAGTAATCCCAGAATTACTAACAATAAGCTTATTGAATTAAATTTCCATTTCTTTAGTGTTATATATTCTATCATAGATGCAGTCAAAATGTGGTTTTCTAAAATATCTTGAAATACCACTTTTCTGTGTGTTTGTGTCACCAAATTAGTAAACATTTGGGTTTAACTTGTTTTTTAATTCTTAGGAATTGACTTTTTTTATTTACTTAAAACAGTTACATAATTCCAAAGTCAAAACTATAATTATTCTTGTTTCCATTTCTTCCCTTTTATACCACCTTAGACTTACTCCCCGCCTTGTAGAAATTGGTTTTAAATGCTTAGTATTTTTAGCAATATAAGCTGTATTGGTATTATATTTGCATTCTCCTTTGAATGAAAGGTAGCTCTTTGTGTTTTTTACTAATCAATATGAACTGATTGCATTTAAACTAGTCTTATGTATTTATGTAATAGGATTGAGAATCAACTATATTAGGTGTTTCTATTGTGCATAAAAATGAAGTTATATATAAGTTTGGAGATTTGAGAATATATCTGTGATCTACATAATTTTCATCCTTTTGAAGAAAAAGGAAGCATAAACACTTTGATTCGTAATAAAATGTAGTTAGCGGTAGGTGTGAATAAATGGAAAAAAGAAGAAAGCAAGGAGAGAAAATAAAAGTAAAGATTAAAAAGGACAGGCAGAGGGAGTTACAGTGGGAGGAAAGGATAGAGCAATGAAGGTGAAACAAAAGCAACGACAAAATGAACCCCCAGAACAGCCAATATGGGTGAGAGAGAGACTGAGGGAACTTGTTATTGCCACATAAAGTTGGGCTGATCCAGGTATGGATTTGTCTAATGGGCCAGAGATTTTTTCTGCTCTCATTTATTTTTGTGGTGCTAGGGATTAGACTTGGGGCCTTTTGCATGCTGGGTAAATGTTCTACCCCAGAACTCTACACTCCCAGCCTTATGTTTGACTTTTAATGAAGCAAATCTTCAGTTTGAGACATTGAAATTAAAAATTGAGTTAACCTTATTAAAAATACTGCTATTGTCAAAAGGTATAAAGGCACTAGTCTAACATAGAGCAAACACAGATGAATGAAGCCATGATTTCTGCATTCAGTGAGCCAATGGTCTAGTTGAATAGATAGGTATGTAAGTAAATATAAGGCAGACAGTGGTAGGTACTATATGTGTGGGGCAAATGGGATGCTGAGTGTGACAGAGGAGTAAAAGGTAGAGGCCCCAGAGAGGCTTCATGAAGATGGCCAGCTTGCAGCTAGACAATTAGGAACTCTAGAATTTTAATAGAGGTAAGAGAAAGGATTTTTCAGTTAGAGTAATACACAAGAAGGAAAGTGAATTTACTTGGAAATGGCAAGTAATGTAAGAGGTCTCAAGCATGGTGAACATGATATGCGTTGATCATTGTGTAGTATTGTCGTGTTAATGGATGAACTATTAGCATTCTAATCCCTCTCCAGCTTTTTGATGTGAAAACCAGTAAGCCCCCTGGCTTACAATATCATCTCCCAATAAAGGACCCAGAGTTCTTTTTCAATACATGCATAATTTTTTTTTAAAGAAAGAGTGAGAATTTTTTAATATTTATTTTTTTTAGTTCTTGGCAGACACAACATCTTTGTTTGTATGTGGTGCTGAGGATCGAACCCGGGCTGCATGCATGCCAGGCGAGAGCGCTACCACTTGAGCCACATCCCCAGCCCCGACATGCATAAATTTATATATAATTTCTTTCTCTATTTTCTAGACCAAATAGAGTAATACTATACATTTGGTTGTACAGTATTTTTCACTCATTAGTCCTTATTAGGACATGATGCAAATTTACATCATTACTTCCAGTGCCACATTATTTCTTATAGTATGGATGTGCCACTGTTTAACCTTTTTCCTGTTGAAGGCCTAGTAGATTTTCTTTTTTTCACTCTTATAAATGATATAGTGAATAACTTTGTTCATGCTGAGTTGAATCCTTGGGCAAATGTTTTGTGGGCAAGATTGCTAGAGGTAGACTTGTTAGAACAAGGAGAGTATACATTTAATAGGTTAAAGTATACTATTTATGGCTATTTAAACATCTATTAAAATTAATATAAAATATGACTTAGTATAATATTTGATTCTGACAGGAGTCATTTAAACTTTTAAAATCCTGCCAGATGATCTGTACTTCTTTTATCACTATAATTTGAAATTATGTTGAGAATAGTAGATATCATACTGCATTTTGAAAATAATTCAATATAGATTTTATTTTCTAGGTTGCTTTGCCTAATTGACTACTATGAATCTAAAATAAGAAAAATCTATACACGAAGGTATGAATAATCCTGTTAACAACTTTTGAAGTTACTATCCAGTAATGAATCATACCAAAAGTTTCTATAGCCTTTTGAAACTTTAAATATCCTACAGAAATCTACCTAATGTCACTAAGAAGTTTTTTAAAATATTGTATTTTACTACCTATGTTAAAATATATTAATATACATATATTCAATAACCATCAAAGTATTAGATAACAGCAGAAAGGCATTTCCTCTTATTTTGTCACAGTATTATAATTTGTTCTATTGATGTCACCTAGCTCACTCAAAAATTACCAATATATCCACAAAATGCATAGAAGTAAATGAGCCGCCTACCAAAATGTAACCTAATTAGGATCACATTTATGAGATAAAGGTAAAAAATGTCAGTGAAAACCATATAGATTAAAGCACACATGTCACTTCTGAATAAAGAAGAGTAAAAATAGTCTTTGGTTAACCTAAAATAGCTGAAGAATATCTAAGACCATGTAATCTAAAATGCTTTAATGAACAGTAGCTATTCTGTTCATTGTTTATAAATGGAGCAGTTCTTTCAACAAATAGACATTTACTTGAGCATCCACTTGGTGTCATGTTCTATTTTAGGTACTTAGGATCCCAGGATAACAAATAAGATACATTTTTTGCTTCCATGAAGCATATACTTGACTATTCTTGCCCTAAGAATGACTTTTCAGAAATAGCTGGGGGCAGTGGAAGAAAGGGAAAAGAAAGAAGGAACAATGGAAGAGAAGGATAAAAGCAACTAAGGCTAAAAGTGAATCACTCTAGTCAGAAAATATCTTATCAAGTGCTCAGGGATTTCTGACTTTGTCATTTCAGTGGTAGACACAGTGTTGTATAGATTTTACAGAGATTGGACAGTTTTTTATAATGGTCCTTCTAGAGTTTACAGTCTAATAAGGAAGATAAAATGTAAACTCTAATGAAAATAACATGAGACTTAAGCACTAATACATAATGTCATAGTGAATAATTTCTAAAGGTTGTATAGACAGTAAGTACTATAGGAATTTAGAATAGGAGCAGAATCAATTTTGATTGGAGTGACCAGAGAAGCCTTCCCAAAGCAGATGTGGTTTACATTAGTACCCTTTTTACTCATAGAATCCAAACAGTCTGAAATGCCTTTAACTTTTTTCTTTGTGCTTTTCCAAATCTTACCTACCCTTTAACTCCAGCACAACCTACACAATTATGATATTGGCAGATCTGAAATTTTCAAGGCAGGCTGGGAGGCTGGAGACTCTGGAATGAATTGGTATTTCATTCTTGAGGCCAAATGCAGACTGGAAGTAGACAGTTAAAGTGAAATCTTGTCCTAAACAATGAAGTTGTATTTTACAGAAAAATACACTGATTCAGTTTTTTAATTTAAAGTGTAATGAAAATTAGTTTTTCACTTCAACTAGCAATATTTCAAGTGCTCATTGGCCACATGTTAGCTAGAGGTTACTTTATAGGAGAGTACAGTATTAGCTCATCAAGATTGTTAGTGATTTGTTAGCACTTTGTGGATCATAGAATGCTTTAGTACATTTTATTTGCGTTTTAATCTTTTGTATTCACATTAATCTTGAGGTAGATATGACAACTTCCTTTTTTACAGATAAGACTAAATTCTGAGAGATTGATCTATTGATCATTTAATAGATGAAACTATTGGTTAATAATAGTGCCGAGGTTTGAATCAAGACTAAAGTCTGATCTTGTCCATCTATGTTCTATGTTGTTGTTTTTTAAGGTAGATTATTTGAGCTTCAGATAATAGAAAGATAAAAAGAGTATGTGGAGAATGCATTTTAAAGAAGAACATTTCTTTAATGTTCTGCATTGTTTTATTTGTTTATTCATTCAATAAGTGTCTTTTCAGCTCTTCTTTTGTCCTATAATCTTCTAGGCAGTGAGATCCAGTGGTAAACAATAAAAAGTTCTGGTTCTCATATACTCTAAGTAAAGGGATAATTAATAGATATGTACTATTATGTTCATAAATAATGTGTTCTAATGCCATTCCTTATATGAACAAATAGGAAATTTGGGTTAAATCATGGTTAGATTATTAAGCTCTTATTAGATTGGTATAATTTTTATTAGCAAAATGTTTTTAAGATTTTTTTCATAAAAAATATACATGTATCTCTTCACAGGCACTATAAAGAAGATGAAAGTCAGTCAAGTGAAGAAAATGATTATCAAAATATGGGTGCATCACCGACTTATAAATGTCTTCTAGTGGTATGGGGACTATAACTAATAAATACTTAAAAATTTTTTTTGTGGTGCTGGGATTGAACCCATGGCCTTGTAATGTGAGTCAAGCACTCTACCAATTGAGCTAGATCTCCAGCCCCAAATATTTTCTTATAAAATAAAATAATCACCCAGAAAGTTAATTATTTTTGTATGAAATGTGTTGTAGTCATTACAGAATCAACTCCAGGATGCAAAATCTAAGATTGATGCACTTACAAGTGAAAAGCTGAACCTCCAAAAAGATTTGGAAAGCAGGTGAGAGAAACTCAAGTAATGTTTCTTTTTTTAAATTTTTTTTTAAAGCAATGTTTCTTTGTCCTTTAACAAGTAAATACATACTGGAACTTGTTATATTAAACCATTCTAACCCCTTTACCCTACAACCAATTCTGAGTGCTTATTTTAGGCAGCTTTTTTTGCTTCTGTGATTAAAGAACCCAACTAGCAATTGTAGAGGAGGAAAGTTTGTTTGAGGGGCTCACAGTTTCAGAGGTCTTAGTCCATAGAAAGCTGGCTCCATTCCTCGGAGACCGAGGTGATGCAGAGCATCATGGTGGGAGAATGTGGTGGAGGGAAGCTCACATCATGTCAGGAAGCAGAGAGGTCTCCACTTGTCAGACAAAAATACATGTAACCCAAAACCCCAATTCCTACCTCCTCCAGCCACAGCCTATCACTTCAGTTACTACTCAGGTAATCCCTATCAGGGGATTAATTCACTGATTGACCTGCAACCCAATCAGTTCTTCTCTGAACCTTCTTGCATTGTCTCACATGTGAGCTTTGGGGGGACACCTCATCTAAACCATAACAGTGCTTCACACTCATATTCATGGTTATTTGTGTCCCATGGTAAATGATAGAAGGCCTACCCATAGACAGGCAAGAGAAATGAGAAAATAGAAGTCTGTTGAAGAAGTTAAAACTGGGTAAGAACTTTTGAGTAGGTATTTTTCCTTTAAAATTAGCTTTATTGGTGTATAAGTGACATACAATACATTGCACATAATTTAAAAGTTTTGACATATGTATACTCTGTGAAACAATCATAGTTGAGATGATCACCCTAAAAGTTTTCTTTTGTAATCTCTTCTTCCCAGTTTATTTTGCCATTATACAATAGTTTATATTTCCTAGACATTCTGTAAATGGAGCCATATAATATTCTTCTTTTTATCTTCCAGTGAGCATGATTTTTCACATTTTTAAATTGTTTAAATTATTAACTGACAAATCATAGTTGTATTTATCTTTGGGGTACAAAGTAATGTGATTTTTATGAATACAAGGTAGAAGCTAACCTATCCATCACCTCAAATACTTACACTCTGTGTGTGTGTGTGTGTGTGTGTGTGTGTGTGTGTGTATAAAACTTAGTGATTTTGAAATGTTCAAAGTTTTATACCAGTGGGTTTCTCATTCCCAAATTACTTGAATATCTTGTGATTTCTTATTTTGGAAAGAGAAGAAAAGTAAATAGTTCTTGTAACACAACAGAAAGCTATATGCAGTATAATTACAAAGAGAAACCACCATCTGTTGACAGTTATACAGAGTGAACAATGTTGACACTCTATTTTTATTCAGCAAATATTTGTTGAATACTCTTAATAAGTTAGGCAATTCTCCAAGCTCTGGGATTAAACAATGACCAAACAAATCCCTTGATCTCATAAAGCTTACACTTGATTTATTGCAGTGCTGGGGATGAAACCCAGGCCTTGTGCATGCTAGGCAAAGTATTTTATCTCTGAGCTTCATTGCCAAACTTTAAAGCTTAAACTTTAATGGAGAAAAACTATTAGTGGTTTACATGTAAGTCATTTATATAAAGTCTGAAAAACTGCTAGGTAATACGTATATTTATGGTTACATAAATATAAAGATTTTAAGAATAATGCTTTGGAATAAGGAACAGTAAATTTAGGATAGTGGTGTGGGAAGAAGAATGACATTAATGAGGGATGCATGGAATTCTTAAATACATTTTTAAAGATTTGGAATAAATATACTAATATTCAAATTTGTTAAAGCTGGTGAATATACTAGGATTTGTTGTAATCTCTAACATCTGTATATTTGAAATATTTCACTATAAAAACAATAAATTAAACAAGTAAATGGTTTTGAATAAGGAATTATATAGAAGAAATTCACATGTCCACTAAACACCTTATTTGCTAAATATCAGAATATTTAAAGAATTTTCATGAACTTGTGACAAGTAACAAGATATCCTCTATTGTTAAGTACTTTTATTGTTTTATTCACTTAATTGAATGCATTCAACGTGGTTTATTTTCAACAGGCCCACACAAGAGGAATTAAAACTTCAAAAACAGCAAGTGAAGAAACTGGAAAAAGCCCTTAAGAAAAGCATCAAGTAATTATATTTCACCAAAATTATAGCTTTTATTAGGGTTTTGTATTTTGTTCCTATTTATCTGTTACTTATCTCATTATTATTTCATGTGGCCTTGGGTGGAATTACCAGGCTTATTGGGGAAATGATACTTAAAAATGCATATTTCCACATGGAGGCACATACCTGGAATCCTAGTAGCTTGGGATTTGTTTAAAGTTAACAATTTAAACAACTTGCGAGGCTGAGGCATGAGGATTGCAAGTTCGAGGCCAGTCTCAGCAATTTAAAGAGTCTGTAAGCAACATAGTACCTGTCTCAAAAAAAGGACTAAGGATGTGGCTCGGTAGTAAAGTATCCCTGGGTTCAATCCCTGGTAACCCCTCCCCACTACCCCCACCAAAAAAAGCTTTTCTAGTTCACAGTTCAAAAGCAATTTCTCCTATATTGGATTTAGCTGTATATCCATCTTAGGTGATAAAAAGAAAAAAGGTAAGTTGCCTAATGTAATAAAGTACAAAGATTGTAAATAGAATATTGTCTTCAGAAATGGAAGAATTGCTAGAGAATCAATGAAAGTAGAGATGACAAGTTCCTGATTTTTGTTATTACTAGTCATGATCTGAAAAATTTAAAGGGAGTGTTATCACTTTAAAAGTACCAAAAGGCATGCAGTAAGCCATTCTTACCCATTCTAGCTTTGAAAAGCAATAGCTCAGAGGTATTTTAATATCTGATTTTAAAGAGTAATGGTATTTTCTGAAGCTTGTCCATCAGTACCCTTTGAGTCAAGGGATTGAGAAAGTAGTTTGGGACACATTTTGTTGGAGAAGAAATCTATATGAAATATTTTGAAAACTGAGTTAATATATTCATCAAATGTATTAAGTTAGTTGTGTTAGCAAGTGTTGATTTAATTTTTACTGACAACTATTTTTCCTTCTGTGGCAATAAACATCACCGTAAAAGGAAAGCACATGCATCCAGGAATTACATATTGAGTTAAAATTAAGATAGTAGTGAAGGAAAACTGAGAGAAGTGGAAGGTTTGGAAAGAATGCCTTCATTATTTAATGCATATTCATTTCCTTCCTACCATTGCTTGACATTTTAGGTGCCTATAGTATTTCCTATTATTTGCTTGGCATTCTAGTCTGGGGTTGCTGTGGTAAACCAAATGGAAGAATATCCCTGCCCTCGTGGAGATGACATAAAGGGAGATGATTAATGAAATAAATTTCAATATAAATACTTACATGTAAGATAGTGGGAGTGTAGCTATTGTGTGAGTTTGGACAGGTGGTGGTGGTGGTGGTGGTGGTGACATGGTCAGTGGTGGAAGTGCTGAGAAGTTTTGGAATTGGAGAATATTGAAAGTAGAACTGACAACTTGGTGATGGATGGGGATATAAGGCGTTGAGCAGGAAAAGAGAAGAAGCAAAAGTCTTCTAAATTTTAGGCCTGAATAACTAGTTAGTTGTTAGTACCATTAAGTGAGGTGAGGAAATTAGGAGACAAACAACTGGGAAAGGGGAAGCTGTAGGAGATAAAGTCAGAATGAGGAAACCTATTGACTCCAAAGCAATCATATTAGTGAAGATAAACATAAACATACATGTTTTTATGTGTACATAAAGATCAGTCCTCATTATTCAGATTTCATGTGTGAATTTGCCTGCCAAAATTATAACCTCGGATCAGTCCTCATGGCATTTCAGTCGCACATGGGCATGCTCAATGGAAAGAAATTTTGAATCAACATATATTCTCAACTATTGACCAAGTTGATGCTCTCTCCTCTTGTTTCAACCCCCATACTGAAAAGAAGGGTCTTTTGCTGTTTAGTACTCCCCCCCCCCATATTTATGCTTTTTGTTGGTGATTTCTCTAAGGTACCTCACCAAGCATAGTGCTCCTGTACTCAGGAAGGCTGTGGTATGCCTTATGAAAAAAATACACATGTTAAGTTTTGTTCAAGGCAGGAGTTAAGGAGTGCTATTGGCAAGTTCATTAGTGAATCAGCAGTGTACTTCAAAGTGTCTTTAAGTAGAGACTCGCATAAAACATGGTTATATATTGATCTGTTGACCTATTATGTCCCTAGTTTTCAGTTCTGCAGATACTTCAATGATATTGATACAAGTACATTAAAACAGGTTGGAAACCATAATCTGGATATTATATGTTGACATGATAATTTAAATTATATTCTTATATTATGTCATAATTATATATTGTATATTTTATATATGTTTCATATCTGGGACAGTGAGACAAAATGGAACAGTGAGGAAAATGTGACTAGAGACTTGCCAGAAGCATGACAGTGTATTTCCCCTAGGAGCAGTGGTTCAGTACTCTAATTCAGTATTCACAGTGACTTTATAGACCATAACTGCCCCAAATAATGAGAATCAACTGTATATTTTTTTGTTGTTCATTTGGGTTCTGGTCTTTAGATTGACTTATCATTTTTTGTCTTTTATAATTATGATTCCGTTGTAAGGATAGGAAAGATGGTAGAATGAGATGGACATCATTACCCTAGGTTCATGTATGATTGCACAAATGTTGTGTCTCTACATCATGTACAACCAGAGAATTGAAATGTTGAGCTCCATTTGTGTATGATGAATTGAAATGCATTTTGCTGTCATGTACAACTAAGTAGAACAAATTAAAAATAAATAAATAAAAATTATTTTAAGAATTAGGATTCAGAACTAATTCCTGCTATATTTTTTGGTTGAATTTTGAAGAAATATTTAAGGATTTTTATAATATTTTAAAAATATTTTAGTTTGGAACTTTTTATCTAGATGTCGATACAGAGAATTGGGAGTGTTAGATAACTTGCCCACATTACACAGATGGCAAAAAAAGAGAAATCATATCCTTAATCATTCTTTCTCCAGGTCTCACTCTTGAATCACCACACTAATAATTAGAACCAAGCTAAATAAAGAAAATCTTTTGATTTTGTTTTTGTAGTGCTAGGGATTGAACCCAGGGCTTGAACCCAGGGTCCCATGCATATTAGGCAAATGCCCTACCATGTCAGGCAAATACCCAGCTTATGAAAAGATTTTTATTTTCTGTTGTGCCAAAGGTAGAATTATTTCAAAGTACTATTAATATTTGGGAAATAATAGTCTGCTGTCAACCTAGTGAATTCCTTCCACAGATGTACAAAAGACAGTTTTATTACTGGGTAAGCTTTCAGCCATTGCATTATAGGCAATGTGCTAAACAGGTTTACAGATAGACAGAAATCCTCCTATATAGCCAGACAGGTAGAATTCATTACATACATGCTATCTTTAACCAAGGGAAAAATAAAATTTCTGGTGTTCTTATGATAATCAAGAGGTTAACAGCTTGGCACCAGGGCCCTAGACTAAATTCTGATAGTGTTAGAAGATGTGACCATCTTCCTTGATAGTCACATTTTGACCATGGTTCCAGGGTTCCTTTAAAAAAAAAAATCCTGGAGATACAGAACTGGGAAAAGGTTTATTTAGCTCTGGAAAAGATTTAAATACATCCTAAAGAGACAGAGAAAACATAATTACAAGTTTTCCAAAGGAAGTGCTATGAGAAAAAGGAATAGAGGAGTCTTTTCCCTTTCATGAGCACAGAATATTTCAGTTGTGTTTTTTTTTCTTTTGTATTTTTAAGAGTTGTAGTTACTCTTAACACCTCCATTTGATATTGAAGGTTAGTTTAACAATCTAACATGGGAGAACATGATTTCTTCTTACAGGAGAGTTAATATTACGGACAATTTGTTTTAAAATTATGTTCCTTAAGGGATGAAATGGGTCTACCAGGGCAAGACAACCAGATGTACTACACTAATTTCCTTTATTTTTCAATACCTAGTTTGTTTAGCTAGGGGGAAACGGTCAGAATACAGCTAGTCTAGCGTTGACAGACATCAGAGTGGTCGGTGGTGAGGCACACTGAAATTAACAATTAAGCGTAGTGCCCATCCTGTGATAGAAGCAAGAGGCCAAAAGAAAAAGGCTGGCTCCCCAATGTTCTTTGTTTTCCTTATGAAATGTACTGGGTGGGTTGGTTAGTGACATGCAGCCAGATGGGGCCTAACTATCTCACTGCCAAGAACCCTGATGTTTTATGGGGCAGGGAGGGTAAAAGTATTGGGGAGGATGTTTAGATAAGGCCCCTCACCAGTAAGGTGATGATGGAAAAAGCACCTGAAAAATGCCTCAGTAAAGTCCTTGTAATAAAGGGGCCCCTAACATGGGTGCTGGGCTAAGAAAGCAGAAATGCATGTGAATATGGCTAGCATTAGAGGGAGGGGGTTAGTCCTTAAAAGTAACTGCCTCCACAGATTTCAGTGTGCAGGGTGTGCAGCTGGTGTGGTGTGAGGAAGCTTGCTGTTCCTCATGAGGCCTCCAGGCAAAGCCTTTGTAATTGCTTATTGCTGGGCCTAAAGATAACACATAGTATTTGGGTCTGGGCCTGATTTGGGCTCCTCACCAAGGAAACAGTTGCCTTCAGAGTTTGGCAGTGGTGCCATGTTGTAGTGACCCACTTTTTCTTTTGTTTTTTAAACACTCATTTACGTATTTTGGTTGCTGCATTGACAGCTATAATGTTGTATATTCATAGTGTAGTAGTTATTTATCAGATTTGCATACAATTTCATAACCCTACACTCAGATGATAATGTTCAGCTTAACATTTAAATTCAGATAGTTTACTTGTCTTTCCTGTAGAGGACATATTAGCTTTTCTGTATCTTTTTGTAGTCTAGATACTGTGCTCATTGCACTGCCTTTAGTCAGAGCTGCAGACTGTGTGAATGTGATAATTAGAGGTGGAGTCAGATGGAAAGTGGACTGTGAGAGCCTGGTATGTGGTGGAGAAGGTGGCCAACTATTAGAGCTAATTCTGTGTATTTGGTTTGGGCATCTATTCATCATTGAGCAGAGAATAGCAACTGAGTAAAGATCATGGGTGTTACATGTCACTGAGTAGGAAATTGTAGGGGAAAAGTAAAATCATCAGAGAGTCAGGAATACTGGGTTAAAACTTCAGAGCATGAGGAATTTTGAATGCTAAACCAAAGAGATTAGATTTAGTTCACAAAGCAGCAAAAGCCATTGTTTTTCAGCTGGCAAATTACATAGAATTTGACTATTCTTTTGTACAAATAGCAGGTCAGAATTTGTTAATAAGCCATAGAATTAATTTAATGGATTGGGATCCCAGCAGGAAACTGATAGCATATTCAAATTGAAAAGATTGATTTGAAGCAGATCTGATAAGAAACTACTATTTTCAAAGGCATGATGGGGGATGAGAAGCAATATCTACCTCAGCTAGCCTTTGTAGATATTTTAAGAAGGGAAAAGGTTTGTGACTGGATGAATTCACTCATACGTAGTGAGGTTCCTGGGCAGTCTCTCCTTTCCCCAGAGATCTTGTAGCCATCTGTCTCTTAGGTCTCCATGCTCTTTCCAGGCCTGAGCATCACTACTGTCTGTTCTTTAGCAAAAGTGGAACATGTAGAGAAGGGGCCAAATTGTCTAGATGTTCCTGCTCTGTGCCCAAACCAATTGCCTACTCAGACTGATTTCTCTCTCTACCTATGGCCTCTAATTTTGGAGCACCTTGGATGGAAATTGCTTCCATCTTTTGCTATAGTTTTTTCCCTGGTGTTTATTTGTGTTGGGAGAGTGATTAGAATTTTCTTCTTTAGTCTGATCCCTTCTGTTTTCAGGGATTCCTTCTAATTTGTGTTCTGTTGGGAGGACCTTCTCATTTTCCAATGGCAACATGACTTTAAGTTTTTAAAAACTTCAATGTACACACGCACATGCATACATCACATATAAGTAAAATGATGTAAGACTTTGACAAGCCAGTTGGATGGATCATTGTTGTCTTAATCTAATGTCCAGGAAGGCATTTTGTATTATCTTTATTATTTTCTCTCTCTAGATTACAGGAGGTTATCAGTCCTAAAAACTCTGAGGACACAGAGAAAAAAGAAGAACCCATCAAAGAAAACCATCAACAGGCCCTAATTGACCAGAGATACTTTCAGGTATTGCATAGCTAACAAAAAGACTGATGTTTGTAATGAACCTTGGTTTCAGTTGCAGAGTAATAAATGATCACTTGATATGAATACTTGTATAGTCATCTTGTAGTATCCATGGGGATTCATTCCAGGATACCCATGGATATCAAAATGAGCAGATGCTAAGGCTCTTAGGATAACATGCATAGGTTATATACAAATAATATGCTTTCTATCCATTACTTATAATACCTAATACAATGTAATCAAGGTAAATAGTTGTTATACTGCATTGTTTAAGGAATAAGGACAAAAACATCAATTAAGACTTTTAAAAGATTTTATAATCCTTTGCTCTCACACTTTAAGCAATTTTTATTTTGTTGCTTTTATTCTTACATAGGTAATTTATTTTCTTAGGATAAGGTCCTTGTGTGGTTTTGTTTTGAATATTTAGTTCACATGAAATTTAATTTTCTATTGATATGATGTAGGGAATCTCATTTTACTGGTTCTATAGATCATTATTGAATAGATGAACAATTAAATCTGTTTTATTTTATTGACAGAACTGGGTCTGTACTTTTATTTTATTGGGCCAACATAGGGTTTTAAAATTTTGAATTAATTACCAATATTTCATACATTAAGAGATTTTTAATGTACATTATCTGAAGAATTATGTCTTTTCCCTGTCAGATGTGGACATATGCTCTTCTGTTATCCACAGTTCCCACTCTTCTTTGACTCATTTATGCTGCTACTTGGCTTCTGTGGGCATTTGACTTCACAGTCTTGATAGGCAACTTTTTTTTCTCTGCTTTATTGATGCTTATAATATATTGCTATATATGCATAGATTTTTAGATTCTCTGATCTATTTCATTCCTATACTACTTTCATATTCTTTTTTTAAAATATTTTATTTTTTAGTTATAGTTGGACACAATACCTTTATTTTATTTATGTATTTATTTTTATGTGGTGCTGAGGATCAAACCCAGGGCCTCTCATGTGCTAGGCAAGTGCTCTACTGCGAGCCACAACCCCAGCCCCTCCATATTCTTTTAATTTTTATATTTTATAGTGTCTTGAAATTTTTTGGGGAAAGCATCCCGTCATCATCTCCCCACCTGCCCCCCAAATTTTCTTGGCTATATAAAAATTTAGCACATTGCCTTTCTGAATGAACAGTTTTTAAGATTAAAAAATCCTATTGGGATGAGCTGAAATTGGATTAATGTTTGGAGAAATGATACCTTTTACAGTTTTGAATTATCCCATTCAGAAACATGTCTCTAATTTCATTTTCGTTTTCCTTTTCAACCTTCAATAGTTTTATATACTTTAAATTTCATATACTTGTGTATTTTTTATTAGGTTTATGATCTGGGTTTAATAACTTTATTGCTATTGTAAATGGGATCCAAGCATATTTCTGAAAACTGTTTTATTTTAGATATTGCTATCAGCCAATAACTGGATTTCTTTCATTTCATTTGTCTCTGAGATTTAATTTGAGAGGCTTTTTTTTTTTTTTTTTTTTAAAGAAAAAGGCAGGGGCTGGGGTTGTGGCTTAGTGGTAGAGTTCTTGCCCCACACGTGAGAGACCCTGGGTTCCATCCTCAGCACACATAAAAATAAATAAACAAAATATATTGTCAATGTGTAACTAAAAAAATATTTAAAAGGGCAGTTAAATTATTCATGGGCATTGAGATGAATTCATATTTTTGCTTTTATTCTTGATGCTTTTCTGTTTACTTATTTTGGTTCTATTCTTTTACTTTGGTTTGTTTCCTTTTCCTAGTATTTACTAGATTGGTTGAAATTTCTTTGTTATTTACCTTCAAGTAATTAGGAAGTTTATTATGCTGATTCTTTCTTTCTTTAATGATTACCCTTAAAGTTTTTTTTTTTTAAAAAAAATCAATGTAAAACAATCAATATCAAGAGCTTATCAGTATCTGCAAACTCTGAAGAATGTAACACCTATATTGATTTTCTTTTTAAAATTCTCATCTCTGTAGCTGGGTATGGTGGCACAAGCCTGCAATCCCAGCAACTTGGGAGGCTAAGGCAGGATGGATTAGAAAGTTGAGGCCAGCCACAGCAAGTTCCTGAGACCATGTTCCCCACCCCCCAAAAAAGGATGGGATGTAGCTCAGTGGTGGAGTCCCTTGAGATAATTCCCAATACTATAAGGGGAAAAAAAAAATTCTCATCTCTGGAAATGGGAATTGCCAGTTTGCGGTTTCCTCATTGTTAACGTATCTTTTGCTGCCAATCATCAGAAGGTGTTAAGTCATAAGAAAGAATGTGAGTCTATAAAAATTCAGTGGAGAGAAATTAGTATATTTTTCTATTAAAATGAAAATCTAAATATAAGAAAAGTGAAAAATTTAAAAACACTATCTTGAACTATAAAGAAACTTTAAAATAAGCCTCTGAAGTCATATTATCAGGACACCTATTATTTGTAGCTTGAACACATCCAAGGAAAGTGATTTCTTTGCTTACCTGTGTATGTGTTGCTAGGGATTGAACCTTAAGGCTTCACACATGCTAGACAGGTGCTATAACACTGAGCTCCATCCTCAGTGTTATAACACCTGTCTAGCTTTTTATATATGCTGTTTGGAAGTCTCCCTTGCCTCCTCTTGTATGATATTTAAGGTAGAATTTATCATTTATGGGTAGAGGGTATGGTCAAATAGTAGGTAATAATAAGATATTTACAATTCAATATAGGCATCAGTAATATTAGGGAATTATTGTTAATTATTCTTAGATATAATAATAGTACCACAGTTTTGTAGAATATGCCTACTTTAAGAGACTCGTGCTTTATTATTTGAGGTGAAGAGTTATAATGTCTATTTTAAGATGAACGATTTAAAGAAAAAACAGTGAGCAAATATGGCAAATTGATGTTAACATCATTGAACCTAGGAAGTGATTTTGTGGGTGACTGTGAAGGTTAGTTTTTCTATGTCAACTTGACTGGGCAACAAGGCCCCAGATATTTGGTTAAACATTTTTGTGTGTCTGTTGAGTGTATTTCTTGATAAGATTAACATTTGAATTGGTAGACCAAGTAAAGCAGATTGTCCTTTATGATGTGAGTGGGCATCATATTGTTCCCCCTGCTTTGTACTTGACCTGAAACATTACTTCTGCAATTACTAGGGACTGCAGCTGCACCTTAGCACTTCTGAGTTTCTACTTGCTAAGTACCTATCTTGGAATTTATCAGACTTAATAATCCTATGACCCAATTCCTTACAAATAAATCTTATTACAGTGAATATATGTGTGTGTGTATGTAAACTATATGTAATGAACCAAATTTATATGAAGACAGTATGCACGTGTGTGTGTGTATACACACACACACACACACACATATATATATGTATATATATGAGAATATATAAATGATACTGGCTATGCATCTGCTGTGAAATATAAGCCAATAGAGCAGTTCTGCTTCTGGGAGTTCAGAGAATGTTGTCTTAGTAATGAGGATGACTGGGCCATGTGTTGGTCATTATCTACTGGCCCTGCCTGGACTTGGCTATATGGCAGTAGCAGAATGCAAACAGAGCAAAACTGATCTATGCCTCTTAAAAATGGGCCCTGAATTGGCATAACATTTTTCCTCAGTACATCTGTGGATCAAGGCAAGGCCCAAGACCAGCCCAAATTCAAGGGGTAGAAAACAGACTCCACTCTCTGATGGGAGAACTGGTAGTGTTATACTGCAAAAATATACAGAAAAGAGATATTGTCATTTTTTCAGCAATTTGAGATAAAGTATGTATGCTGAGGTTCAGGTAGTATCTGCTCCCTGAACCTCAGGTAGTTCAACTCCCAAGGCGACAGCCTTCCTGATCTTTGGTGTGAGAGAGGAGAAATAGAAACAAGTCCTTCTCTCATTAATAATTTAGTGGACGAGAAGCTGTGGTTGTAGTTCAGTGGTAGAGCATTTGCTTAGCATGTGTGAGGCACTGGGTTCAATTCTCAGCACCACATATAAAGTTCTATCGACAACTAAAAAAAATATTAAAAATAATTTAGTGGAAGAATGCTAATTATTTTTTCAATTAGAATGTTCTTGATGAGTTTAAATATAACAAAAGTGAAATATTGAAATACACTATCCTCAAGTAATAAAATAAAGCTCTTTTAAATAAACACCAGAAGTCAAATTCTCAGAAAACCTGTTTATTGTAGCTTCCTATGGCTAGAAAAGAACAATAAATAGCACCTGCTACCCATTCTACATATTTTAATTTTTATTCCTGAATTATAATTATTCATAATAAGCATCATTGTGACATATCCATACTCACATAAGACATAATCTTTTAATTTCACAATGAGACCTATCTAATTTCTCACGTTTTCTTGGATAGGCTTGTTACTATCTAGGGTTTTGATCTCGTTTTAGCAAGACGTGTATGGTGTGTCTAGAATGTGACTGTCCTCGTTTTGAGTTTATCTGAAGTTTTGAAGCAATAGGAAAAGCCTCTTTGAACATCTTGCTTAGCTTAAATAGGAGACAGAAATAGGGAAATGTAGATGCGGTAGCTAATGATGTCTGGATGATTATTCTTTTTTTTTTTTTTAAAGGAAAGAAAG